CGCGTTGGATATCCTAGGGATTGGTTTACAGGCAGAGACTGTTAGCGAGGCTTTTACCCGGTGTTTGTTGGCATGTTTGCACATTCTCTTCGCTGTGGAGCACGGCGCTGCTTATCACACGCTCAGTTTATCCCTATACATGATGTGATATCGTGACAGTCATGGAGGCTATGGGGACACGCATTTTTATATATCAGATGTACATTCTCGCAACTCTTGGCAATGCGTCAGAAAACAAGTCGGTGTCATGACAAACGAGTGTGTAAAAACAGGTAAATCAGGAGATAAATAGCGAACACCTTTATTTACCATCATTAAGCGCGTATCATATTTGTGTGCAATCACATGGCATTATCGCAACCATCAACCAGTGGTAGGTATTATCAGCTGTCTTCAGATGCACATGTGACAAACAGGGTACTGACAGAGTATGTGAAAGGCTAACGTTGCGCGCGCACCAGTCTAAAGGCTGTTGTTATTGGTGTGAATCGCCAGACACGATGGTAGCTTACCTTTAGCGGAAGACAAATAACAGTTCAGTTGAGCATATATCGCCGGTCCCGTTTACATTGGCGATCATCCATGAGGCCGTCTTGCCGATAGATCTCTTCAGTTGTCAAACAAACAGACGCGATAGTTTGCTGGCCTAATACAGGGCCGTTGTTTTAGCTGCCGTGAGGGCCATCCAGCGATGCAGACCACTGCCTTCTGACGTATTCCACGGCAGCCGCGGTCAGACCCTGCAAGCGTCTACTGATGAGTTTCGGATGTCAGCCCTCGCCATGATTCGCTGTTTTCACAACGCCGCGGCATTTCTGGTCGCCGCCCGCCGCCCGCGCCGACCATAGACCGCCGTGGAGTGGTCCTTTAAAACCGCCGCTGCTCCGAAACCAGAAAGGCTCGAGACAACATTTTTGGTGTTAAGGGGGGGGGGGGGGGGTGTTTCACACTTACACGGGGTTTTGAACCGAAATAGCCATCTTGAAGATATTTTGGTGCTGCTCACAATGCTGTCCTTCTTGAGACGTAAGCCCCTCTAGGTTCTGTTCCAAGCCAAACGCCTGCGAAAATGGGGGAAGGTTTATGGAAGAGAGTGTTTTAAAGTGTCCTTTGCATTTATGACATCATAATAACGTCATTCAATCTTGTCATTTCATAAGCCACGCGGCGGTCAAGGACAACAATTATAATTGTCGAGGCTTTCATATCTGGCGTTGGTGAGCGCAATTTCCAGATATATCTGCCGCCAATCAACTCCCAATCCGTGTTGTGTAAGGTGCGATAACGCAATGAAACCATGTTGCAATGAGGAGCATATTTACTTAACGGAGAATTGTGCTGTCTAGAGCAGTCTTTTTCACTTCAAAAGTGTGCCAATGGTTATAAGTGAGCTTCTTTCGTCATATCTGACGTGTGCTTCAATATCTTCAAATGTGACACTTTCCGCTTAAAACGCGCGCATTGGAGGCCCCGTAGGCCACTTAACATTTGAGTACGGTCGCGCGATATGCCGGAGCTGAATCCTCAAAAAGCCTCAGGAAGGGGAGACATCGACCCGCTATTAGGGCGAGGGTGAACGAGTCGAGAATGTCGGTAGGTTTGAACGACTGCAGAATGTAGTAGGTGTAGGAATGTAAAATGTCTCACCATCGCTATCATCATTATCATTATCATTATCATCATTGTATGTGAAAGTGTCAGATGCTTAAGGACCGCCATGCCGAAGTAAGAAAAGAGGTCTTCAACTCCTGGTTTTTGGTGTCATGAGTAAAAAGCCCTTGTGTTGAATTAAAGACCATCAATATATCATGGCGTGGTTAAATGTTATAGTAATGCTAAATGACGAGTTTATCATGACACTCATTATTTCGAGATGGGCTCATCAAGTCAGAAAAGGGCAGACAAAGGCTCAGAAAGGCCCAATAAAGTGTTACGCTTGAAAGAGAAGTTACGTGAGTCCAAAAAAATCAAATATGCGCAGCCACTGCACCTAAAAGATGTTACGAAGCAAATAATCGAAGCTCCCAACAGTTCAGAAGTTTGTTTAGCGTTCAACGTCAGGAGGCTTAAAAATCAACGATGGCTGTCTAAGCCGGAAGTTAACAAAGACCGACACAGAGTATGAGATAAAAACATGTCCGGCCGCCACGAACATAACCTGAACATCAGGAACCTGCTTAACGTACAAGTGTTGCTGAAGCTAGATCCCATGATGAAGTTTGTACGTGCAGCCACGCAGAGTGCGAGTGTGCAGCGTCTTTAAGATCTTGATGTCCACATTGTCTTTATATTTAGCATTACTACGTCGTTTAGCCAGTACCTCCTGAGATATTGAAGACCGTCAGCTCATCATAAGAACTTTTAACTGATAACCCCCATGACGAGTCTATTCGACAAC